AAAGAGTGTATTACATTTTGTTAAGAGTTTTTACATGCCTACCACCTCAAACACATTATATTTCATATCCTTTAATCATCCTAAACGGCTTGCACTTTCAAAACAGCCACTCGCCGTTATCATCCACGAACCCGCACACACGGTTTGCTCTCCTTCATCTATAAGAACTAAAACTTAACCTCTTCCCCCGCTATCGAGCCACAAATTGTGCCTAACCTAATTTTCTTCTCTCTTGTGATCGTCGCCCCATCTCTCTCTAGTTGGGAAAAATATTGTGTCTGAACGTCCGTACGTCCGAACAGCCAACCACCAGCCGCCTTGTCGCCTGCCGATGAGGTGCATGGCAACATGGCGGTCGGTGGTTGGGCATCCAAACATGCGGTGTACTGACACAATATTTTCTCTACTCGCAAAAATTTTGTGATTCCTTCATTCGGATCTTCATGCAATTGTTGTTGTTGTGTCTCCTTTCTTGATTGCATAAGACACGTGATTTCTTTCCTCTTTCGCTCGCTACCACATTCTCAATCAAGCTTGCTACACTCGATTTCCTAAGCTCTTCTTTGCCGTCCGAAAGTGGTAAACAACTTCAACCTCACCTATTGATTCTTTTGAGAAGATTGAGAGAGTCAGCAAAGTTCATACCATTTAACTCTTCCTCCAAGCCTTGCAGGAGTACATAACACCTTCCACATCTCATTACTTTGGCACTACGTGCATGGCGAATCTCACATGTTCAATATAATTCATTGATAATTCGAGGAGACCTGAGTTATAAAAAAAAGTATTAGATTGCATCTTAAAAGCGTGAAATTTGATAGCTTCACTGCTGATTTATTTCTTTTGATAGAATACTTTGGAAGCACCAATCAGAGCAAGGAGCAACCTAAGATATTGAAGAAGAGTTCATCTTAAAATACCCGCAACTATTACAGAATCAAGGTATGAACATAGGGATCAAATTCTTCAAGTGAGATAGTATGTAAAAATCAAAACTTAATTCTTTTCCCGCTATTGAGCAGCAAACCAATGTCCTTAACTTTCTTCTCTCCCGCAATTGTTGTCCCATCCTGGTTGGATTGCAAAAACTTCATAATTTCTTCTTTTTTAATTCCTTCCCGTTGGAATGGAAAAGCTTTTAGGAAATGACAAAGGCTCGTGGCATGTACATATGTACTTGGAGCCTCTTGTATTTGAGAAAATATTTCATCAGGTAAATTGACGTAGAGTCAAAGGCGTTGATCGCATCATGACGCATGACATGATATAATCCAAACTGTCACCCGCACGTCCGTAACTTCTATACAGAACGATGGCTTTAAACACCGATCTATTGACTCTAAGCCTATATCCACCAAAAATAAGTTGAAATTTTGTATTTTACGTGCAGAGTAAAAAAAAAAAAAAATTAGAAGAAAAGAAAAGGAATATTACTAAGTGACTCTCACTGTTCCTGGCAAAGCGAAAGCAGAAGGCCTCACAATCACCTCGTTATCAAATGCTCCCTTCACAGTATCCAGATTCAGTCCCACTGATGACCTGCCACAAAATATGTAGTAATAACAAGATTAAGCACCTCCTTCTTTTGTAATAAATGCAAACTCTAATATGTCTTATTTATGAAGAAAAGAAGAAGATTACATACAGACCACTAAATTCCTATGTATTTACATAACTGTCATTTAAATTCTTATCTGTGCATGAAAGAGTG